TTTTGTCTTTTCTACTTAATCCTCTTCTTATGCTAATATCAGTAGGTTTGAAAATTACATATTCATGTTTGTATAAAAAGTACATCATCAAGATGCACTTCCCATTGTAACATTTTTGAAACTCAGGCAGCACTCACCATTGAGAACAGGCTGCAGGAGAATAAAATGTAATTGGGAAATACATATTTCAGTAACATCTTTGAACTGAGGAATAAACAAAGACTGTCTACTTTCTTGACATCAAGGATGTATAGAATATGTGAACTATACATAAACTTACTATCAAATAATTTATTATTATATAAAAATCTTAAGTTTTCTTCAAGCACTGAGACTCTGACTTCTATTTATTCCAGTCTGTTGGATACTCTTGCACTTTGATGTTTTATTTGGTGCATTGAACTTTTCTTTCCAAATTCCAATTTTAATTTTTTCATAATTTCTAACTTCTTTCTATTTTTAGTTGCATTCACTGAAGTACAAATGGGTTTCATTGACACTATTTGGTAGATGGGTACAATAGGTTTGAACAATTTAAGACATATACACAATCTCTTCCTAATTTTACCTAGCTATTTATCTGCATTCTCTTTGTATTTATTCAGGTGTTTTTTCATGTCTCTTCGATTTAATTCATCATTCTCATAATCTTTCTTTTTTGAGGATTTCATCCACTTCAATATCAAGATAATTGTGGAATTGGTGACAATTTCAAAAGTCATTTTGCCTTGTTTTCCAATAATTCTAATGTTTATATTTTGGGATTTGCACATATGGTGCCAAGATTTGTGGCAGGGCTGTGCAGCTTCTCATCCTGATAAATTGGGCTTAGCACAGTCACCAAATATTTGCCTAACATGCTCAAGTCACAAAGTCTAGTCCCCAGCACTATTCAGAGAGGAGAAAATGTGCAAAATGAACTTCAATTGACTGACACAGAAATGACTACCAAAATATTAACTACTACTCCTCCAATAAAATTGGAGGCATTAAAGAGCAAGGGTAGTGTGAGATGAAGCAACATGATGGTATTAATAAGGGTAGAGACAGAATGGAAATAGGAAGAGCAACAGTAGTGAATGATACATGAAATATAGCAAAATAAGAGGGAAGTAGAAGTGGGGAAATTAATTCAAGGGGAACAAGAAAGAAAAGGTGATGAAGAAGACCCAACTATCAGTAAAATGAGAAAGGGAAAATAATATTTTTTACTTAAGTCCTGAAAGCAGAGAAAATGCTGCCAAAATCTATGGCAATAATGAAGTAATATAGAAGAGTGAAATGTAGAAAGAAAAACAAGATAAGAGAGAAATACGACATAACTGAAGAAATAAACAGAACAAAAATGAATGGAAGAAGAATGAGATGGGAAGTGACAATTGAAAATTAAATATGGAATCCCAAGTGTGGTAGCTTCTGTCTGCAGTCCCAGCACTATCTGAGGCAAGGGGACCACACACGCAGTACTGGGCACATGGGGAGAGCCCATTTCAAAAACATTACAATCAAATAAAAGAAAAAAGATAACACAAATTTTATAAAACAAGGGAGGACAAGACAGGATCAGGAAATAATAACTTAAATTGAATTATCATAGAGGGAAGTACAACAGCAAAAAAAAGAATTTAAAAATTGTGTAAATATAGAATAAAATTGAAACATAGATGAATATGTGAATGGATCACTCAGGTTTAAAATGACTTTATAGAAGATTATAAAATTAAATAAGATGAAACCAGGAAAACAGAAATATAATTAGTTATTTTAAATAAAGAAAAGATAGGAAAGCCTTCAAGGCATCCAATTTTACCAAACTTGAGAGATGCTTCCTAGTGCTTAGGCAACAAAGAATTCCACATAACCTGTCTGCCTAGACTGTGCAATATAGGTACATGAAATCAACACAGAAACAGTAGTAACATTTCTGTACATTAATAAATCTTCAGGAAAGAAAAGGCAAAGGAAATACATTTGTAATGACTACAAAACCGAAAAAAATAATCTAAGTGTACATTGAACAATGACAGCTTTATTACTCATTTATTTCATATTTTTTGGTAGTCATAGATTTGGCTTTATTTTCAACCTTTAATAACAAAACAAAATCTAGGGGTATGAACATGTTTTATTTTACTGTCCTGAGTGGTTGTAAGATACATAAGCCAATCACTAGAATTTGAGTACTATAGGAGTGACCTACAAGAGGTCATAGAATAGTGAGAATCAGACACAAGAAGTGGAGGGTCCTGCAGATCTGGGCAAGCTTGTGTCTTGTATTGCTTGGTGGACACTGGCTTCTGGTTTGGAAAAAGAGAATTGTGCAGACAGCTGGTGAGGGAGACAGGACTTTGTCAACTAGAAGCCACACGAAAATAGTAAAGTAGGTAAGTCATGTGATGTATATTTATCTACCATTCTAGAAACTTAACTTATGAAGGAAAATTAAAAAGAAAAAATCAATATCTCAGGAGAATCTTGGTTTCTTCTGATATTATAGTGGGAAGAATTTTCCCCTTAGAAACTTCTTTTACCTGAAGAGACTTAATCTGTGAAGGACAACCTCAGCCAGCACTGACATTTATACCCTGATTGGCCCTCAGTGCAGGTTGATGTCTTCACAGTAAACTTTGTCATTCAGAGAAGTGGTAACAGGGTGCTAGGGTTGTAATGCAGTCCACACTCCTCACTGGATCATTCCCAGAGTCACAAGTCAATAGCTAACCTGGCTGTGGAAGACTAGCCTTCTGTCCCCTGTGATGACCCATTCCAGGGAAACTTTTGACTTTTCCACTGGTACCCAGGTTCTAAGTGTAACTTGTCATTGTTGTCAGTGAGACTTCCATGAAATTCAACACAATGTGAGGTCCATGCTCTGCAGTCTTCAAGGACTGAATTTTCCCTTAATACCCAGAAAGCAGCATCCTTGGCTTCCATCACTGGAGGCTATTGTGGGGACTCCAGTCTGAAAGGGATCTTTATGTCTCAGTTTCCTCTGAGAATCCCAAGCACTGCACAGAACATCTTGTTTTTTTACATTTCTAGCATGTTTTTGAACCTACTCTTTGACATTACATGGTGTTTTGATGGTGACTATCATGCCAACCTCTGTCCAGGGCTTTTCTACTTCTACCATTTGGTTTTTCAGGGTTTAAATAATCACTATAAGTCTTTCTTTGTAGCGTTGCCACTAATATCTCTGCTCACTGTGCTTCATGATTAGCTAATCATTGTGGATATACTATTTAAATACGTGGATCAGTGAATATTCCACTTCTTGGTAAGAGCTACATGTGCATATTATGCTTGTGTCTGACCTCAGCCAGGTAGTTCCCACACATTCCTCTCCTCAACATCCACCATGTAACGGGCCAGAGCCTTATGGTTTTGTTATAGAGATAAATTAAAAACTGCTCAGGTCTTGAATGGGAATGCACCTAACCCTAATCCTGTCTGGGGCCTTGCAGATTCTCAGTGAAATGTCAGAACTCACTACAGCCTTCTGTGGCATCTTATTTCTCAGAAAACTCCTTTTCAGCTTTACTCTTTGCGTAGTGTTTCTCTTCAGGGTGGGATAAACCAATGTCCCAGTACAGAATAGTAGGTCATGCAGTAATATAGCACCCAATTTATGTGTGTTTGTAATTGTGCTTTATTTTATAGACCACAGGCTGTAACTAAAAATGTCACATATTTCAGTAACAAAAGCAACATGTATGAATAACATACAACTGAAATATGAGATGGTAAGTTTTAAACAAATGAGCAGGTAGGACGTGTGTGACACGAAGTCAATAATAAAGACTTTCTGTCACTATGACTCACACCTAACACCAGAAGGTCTTTGGCACCTGGCTTCAAAGACTCCAGTGTGTGACCAGCAGACTGTTGATGTCAGCAGTTGGTGTGAGTGAGAGACTGTGAATTCAGTAAAGTGTGATTGGGGAAAAAGACCTCTTGTCATGGTCAAGGAACAAAACCGAGAGAAGATGCCAGGGCCTCACAGCCATTTTAAAGTCAGGACCCAATGACCCAAAGCATCTACTAGATCACATCTTTTATATTATCACATTTCCATACAGCCATGTTTGGAACCAATCCTCTAGCACAGGGGTCCTTGGGCAGACATGTAAGATACAAAAGATGGTATAGAGTAAGGTTAATATGAAAATTTAAATCAAAAGACAAATTTCTTAACCAAATTCAATGCTGATTAAAGTCAATAAACCTTCATTGAATAAGGAGGGTCTTACAAATAAATAAGTCTTTGGAAAAACACAAGTGTAAAATAAAATCAAAATGAAAAAGGCCAAGCACTGGTTCCAGTTATTTGTGGAGGCTGAAATGAGAAAGATCAAGATTCCAGACTAGTCTAATAAAAAGTGCTTGTGTGAGCCCCATCTCAATGAAAAAAGCGGGTGTGCACCTGTTATCCAAGCTATGGCAGAAAGTGTGAAATAGGAGGGTCAGATCCAGACCAGGGTGGAATAAATACAAGACCCTATCTCCAACATAACCTGATCAAAAAGGGCTGGAGCCATGACTCAGGTGGTAGGGAGTCTGCCTAGAAAGCATGAAGTCCAGAGTTCTCAACCACTGGGACCAGAATATAGTAATCAACTATCCTACATGTTTCATGTACCCACAATTATTATAGGCCTCCACAGACCATCTTAGGATCAAAATCACAAAAGATTCTCTGCCTCTTCAGTGTGTGAAATCAAGACATGCATCAATATAGAGAAAATGGGTTATCTGGCTGAATCCAGGGTGCAGCTATAAAATCCCATTTATAGAAAAGTGCCTCAGGAGAGTGTACAACATTTACGATGATTTACTCACATATCACTGGACAGGTGTGCCAGGTTTGCTTAGTGCACAGGGATATGTATAATTTGGAAAACTGAATGGCCTGAAAATCATCTGAAATGGAGATCCCAGATGCTTGGCTGTCAGGTAACCTCTTGTACTGGGTTGAGGTTGGGATTCACCACACTGCCATCTCACTCATGGACCACTGTCTTCACACACTCCTCCATGGTCTTGATGACCATGGTGCCCTGCAGGTTGGAGTATCCAGACATTCTCTGGAGTGGTGTGAGCTGTGAGAAGTACCCTGTGGTCATCAACTGTTTGGGCCCCACATGAGGCAGGGAAGGAATGGGAGTCTTTTTCATCTGTACCTGAGTTCTGCACTCACCTTTAATCCTTCTCCTTTCAGGGGTCTCAGTGATGAATAGAAAAGAGGAAATATTGACCATCAAGAGCTTCTGTGTGCATGGGAGTAGGAGGTATAGTCCCTCATGGATCATACGGTCCTGAGGGGCAGAGAGAAGGGGGCTCAGACTGACAATCTGAGACAATTTTTCAACTGTCTGTGGGAAGTTACACAGGTAGGTTCATTGTGGTCCTGGACGGTACTGGTGACTGGTCCCATCTCATCTACAAAGAAGGAATGTCACTTCTTTACTGCCACAGGGAGGATATGAGAGAGCAGAAAATCATAAGGAAAGTGACATCACCTGGGGATATATGAGATCTAGGAGAAGAAAGAAAACCACCTAGACGAAAGAAAGTCCTTGACCAGTACCACCTGCACCTGCTGTTGGACTTAGAACAGGTTTGATTGAATATGCAGTGATTCTTGCAGCCCAGACCTAATGTTCCTTGCATGGAGGTTTGTGTCAGGTCTCACACTGAAGTCCCCTCACTGTGCTTCTTGCACAGTAATACACAGCTGTGTCCTCTGTGGTGACAGAGCTCAGCTGCATGGAGAACTCATTCTTGGATGGGTCTCTGGAGATGGAGGTGCGGCTCTTAAGGGATGTGCTGTAGTAAGTGTTACCATTATAATATATTTCCCCCATCCACTCCAGCCCCTTCCCTGTGGGCTGACGGATCCAGGCCCAACAGTAATTAGTGGTAATGGAGTAACCAAACACAGCACAGGTGAGGGGCCGGATCTGATTGGGCTTAACCAGGCTAGGTCCTGACTCCTTGTCCTGGGACAAGACACCTGGAAACAAGGAGAAATATTCAATACAGTTACTTGTAACCACAATCTCCCCATGGACTCACATGTGACTCTAGGGACACTCACATTTGTGCACTGGAGAAGACCCAGCAGTCGCATGTTCTAGACTGCACCTGATCAACCATAACTGCAGTTGTCTCTGAGTGCCACCATGGATGGCCCTGGGAACCTGAATCTGAGGGAAGCCATTCTGTAGGAGGCACTGTATAAGCAAGTGCCTGAGTGATTTGCTCTGAAAGGAAAGCCTTTCAATTAAGTTCACATTTCAATTAACCTGAATATGTTTTGGTGATGCTGACAGTCCCTGAAATGACCTCCAGACACACCATTTTCTGTGGTCCCTGTGCAAACTCTTTGGCTTCTTTCCAACGTCATTAATCACTTAAACAACTCCAAAATTCTTGACCTGACATTTACATCTACTCTTTTTCAGCAATACTGCATGTTTTTCAGTCTTTCAATTCTCATCTATGCTGTGTACTTCCCCTGTAAATATGGCTGAAATTAAACAGAATGTGGGAAGAGTGTGTCATTAATGAAGTATTTCCCTGGAATTTCCTCTGCAGGGTAAACCGGGTCTTTCCATTTCAATGTACTCCCCTACAAAATCTTAGGACAAGTTTATTGTCTCAGATATTTATGTGAGTAATGGAATGCAGAAGAATGCAGTAAACACTTGTGTTAGTCACTTAAAGCCATAATGGTAAAATGATTTATTGAGAATTGTGTCTGAAGTCAAGAACTCACCTTTCCAGTTACCATTGTCAGGCTCCCAACTCATATGTGCCCCTTACTCAATCATGGACAAGCTTATTCCTAGAAGTTGAGAAAGTTGTAAAGATTCAATGTATACTGAGTATAGAACTGGTACACATTGAATCTGCTTCATCATCTCGAGAATCATATTAGTGATCCTTGGATTTAGTAATTCTTCTCCATTACAAGAAATCGTGATGCGTGAGTTTTTGTAATTACTCATGGTTTCCTATCCTTAAAGCTTGTCTTATTCCATATCCAGGAGTTTAATAAATGCAAATGATATAGAGAATTGTGTTCTTCTGTTGTGTGTATGTGAGAGCATGGAGTGAACAGCAAGCCGTCAGGGACCTTTCTAGTCAAGACACGAGGCACCCTTTATCCTGTACCTCTATAAACAGAACTGAGAATCTCACTTCATAACTCGCAAGGGACCTGTGATGTACAGTTAGAGAAGCAAATGGAAGACAGAGCTGGAAGACCATTTGGTGGAGTTGTGGGAAAAATCCAGAAACTGACAGGAAAGGACATATCCTTCTCCTCTTCCTGAGGCACAGAGGATGGAGCAGTCCTAAGCCCCAGCCTAGGATCTTGTTCAGGAGGTACCTGAGTCTGTGTCACTACAGTGTCCAGGCAAAGTAATATGTGGTTGTAACTGCAGGCTCCCTGTTGGTCAATGCGAGGAACATGTGGCTATTGGAGCTGTCCTTGGAGATAGGGAGCCAACTTTTCAGAGCTGGGCTGTAGTACTTATCATCATCCCACCAAATATTTGCCAGCCACTGCTGGACTTCCCTGGGTTCTGACAGATCCAATACACACCAACTACAGAAGTGTTCAGAGTGAAGCCTGAGAAGGAGAATATCAGCCTGAGACCTGGGAGGGTGGCACCAGTCCAGGGCCAGATTCCTTCAGGGTGACCTGACACAGGACCCCTATGGAGGAAAACAAGAAGAAGGTGAGTTAGGCTCAGGTAAGGATAGGAGACTTTAACCTCTGAGGGAGTCTTGCAGAGCACACACAGGCAGTCATAGTCAGTAGCAGGAAGATGGAACAGAGCCTGTCCAAGGTGTCACAGTAGTCATGACCCAGGATTGGTGCTGTGTTTTTCAAACCATTAGTGTGTGGAGCTTGGGAGATTTTCATTCCCATCAGATTGCTCCCTGACCTAGATGGGGGGACTCAGATCTCAAAATTCAGGAAGGGAGCAGGACTAGGATGAGCAGTACTGGTGGCCTCAGGAGAGGGTTCCATGTGTGCTCCCCATTGTGTGACCCCCTAGGTCATCTACACCTATAGGACCAGAGTTCTGAGCATGCACTATATCTGAGGAGCTCTGTGGTTTGGGGACAGTGAGGTTCAGAGGTCCTCATAGAGCTTACAGTGTCCTCACCTTAACCATCCTCTATAAACCCTGACTGTGTCATTACTGCATACAGGAAGAGAGAAGAGACCAAGATATGGTGTCCTGCTGCCTTCAAGACCTGAGGGACATATGTCTGGGGCCAGCAGCAGGCTGCTCCTGAGTTACCTTTCCTCAGGACAGGCATAGATAACATAGTAGAGGGATGGTCTCGAATCATTTTCTCTTATTATGCACACAGGTACATGCACATCAGTGTCTGCATGTCTGTCTTTGTCCTAAATTCACTGTTCACAATAACCACTCTTGCTCCTGTGCCATCACACTGAGAACACAGAGGACAGCACTCGTGACTTCCCTCTGCCCAGCCAATGGTATTGGAGAGAAATGGGCACCTGAGTGGACTCAAGAGCACAGCTGGCTGACAACAAGGCCTTGGAGACTTCCTCCAGGACAGGATTCCTCATTACTCCATAAAGGAATCTGGAAAATGGATAAATCCCAGACAATACAGAGGAATGTATCACCTTAGAATGGCCATTCAGAACTCTTTAACCTTAGTCTGTTTGATGTAAAAACAGTGCCATTTTCCCACTTTTCATTTGATCTTATAACTGGCACCCTGGCCTGTCAAAATATGAATATTCATTATCATGTTTTGGTAATCATAAAATCACCCATATTTATAGAAATCTCAACTTGTGAAGCCTGAAACGTGATTCTCCTCTTAGAATCCCAAGTTCCCTCTTGGTGGTGTACATTTTTGGTGATAAAACTTCCCAAATTCCTTATTTTGTCTCATATATGAATTCTTCCTCTGCCAATAACAAGAACCTGGAGATACTAGATAGAGCTCTCTCTGCTGTCTCTATCTCTGAGATAACCTAGCCATCACCTCTGCCTAAAATTTCATTGTCAGAGTCCCAAATTGTCAATATAGACAAATGACATTGCACCATGTTACTCAGCTTCTTCTTAGCAATTTGATTAGAAAGTGAAGACAACCCACAGACTGTGAAGAAATAATCACAAACCATGCTCCTCATTAGGAGCAGTTGTCAAATATATTAAGCACTGAATGAATTAAATTACAGGAATTAAACCTTATTAATGAATGGGAAAGCAACTGGAGTTTACATTTTTTGCTGACTTTAAAATGTTTATTCTTTAAAAAATTAGTTACTTTTTATACAGCTATACAAATTTTGTAATGTTTCTTTGGCAATGGAATATAATGGAATTTTACGACTATTAAAAAAGTTACCTTTGCCTAAGAAACAGCATTTACTGTGTGTACATAGTTGACTGACAAAATTCTCTACCATCCAGCACCCTAATTAACTGACGAAATAAGCTACCTCATATTATAGCATTTCCAAAAAGAAAGAAACACACACACACACACACACACACACACACACACGCACACACAACCTTCTGTGGCTCAAAACACAGTATCACAATCCTATTTGCAGGCAACTTGCCAAATACAATTTAGTGATAAGAAAAATCCTTTCAGTGATGAAAAATACTTAAGAAGTCCCACTGAAGTACAGCTTTAGTTTAACTCTACATAAGAAATTACGTAACTATCTGCTATTCCAAATATATTTAATGCTCATTCATTAAGATAAGCCTCCCCCCCCCAAAAGAAACTGCATTGTATCTCTGAAATTAAGCAGAAAATAAACAAAACCCAGTGCTGGTGACAAATACATACAGCAAAGTCACTTCTTCATTCTTCACAAAGACTGAAACCAATTTGCAGGAACAGGAAGAGTGAGAAATTCACCTATTTTCAAAGACTTGTCTGGAGACTATGCAGCAACTTTGTTGTCTTTCTTTCAGAAAGCAGTATGACCAGTCCAGACCTTTTAGGGCCCAAAAGCTGTGGTTTTCCTGTATTCAAAATCTGCAAACTCCCTGCCCCCGCGACTTCCTCTGAAGCCACCTCGAAATCCTCCTCAAGGGGCAGTGAAGGCCCCTCCTCTGCCACTGCCCTCCTCTGCTGCCACGGAAACCAAGACCTCCTCTGCCTCTGTAGCCACCACGCCCACGACTTGGACAGAGTGGGATGCCAAATGTTTCTGAGTTTAACCTTCTTTCTTCAGCCCAGGTCGGTCTTCTTTCTCTGTTATCATCACAAGAGATATTATCAAAGAAGGACTTAGTTTTGTCATAGTAGCAGTTGGGCCCCAGGGGATCTTCTTCATTGGCATTTCCTTCACTGTTTTGGGTGTCAACTCCTGAGTCTCCTTTATCTTCACCATTGACGGGCCTCTCCTGCTTCTCAAGTTTATCTTCTTTTAATTTAAGTTTATTATGAAACTCTCTGTCGATCTCCTCCTTGTTAAATTGTGCATTTGCACTTTCAAAGTCAAAGTCTTTCTCAAATTTCATAGGGCCATCTCCCCGAATACCAAATCTTCCCCTGCCACCTCGATGACCCCCACGCCCTCTCCTTGGAGCTGAAGGAGCACCTGGAACTACTTGTCTCTTGCTATCATTTCTGAGTTGCTCATTTTCTGGCCTTGGAACTTTGTGCACTTCAGCTCGCCTGTACTCCTGATTCTCTATTGCTTTCTGGCTGGTGGATGGCAAAGGCCTGTTTGACACAGGGCTCCTTCTCCCAACAGGCGCTGGGGTCAGTAAGTGGGCTGAGGCGGTCTGAGCTGCTTGTTCCGTGGTTGGACTTTTTCTCAAAGTGTCTAATTGAGGGCTTGAACGACCTTGAGATAACTGTGTCTTTATAGATTTTGTGTCCTGTGTAAAGGCAGAACCAACCACACTGTGTTGGGATAAGGCACCACTGTTTGATATTTCTGTTCCAAAGGAGGTTGAAGGAGCTTCCAGCAACACCAACTGTACCAAACTGCTGCCCAACTAACGTGCTGGGGCTGAACTGGCTGTATGTCAGCATCCTGCCAAAGGGGCCATAGGATCCCACAGACTGGAATGAAGATGATGAGGACCCTAGTGAAGACTGCACGATGGCGGGGTCCTGGGGCAGGGAGCACTGCCGTTTCGGTGGCTCACAGTGACATCTTTAATGTCACTGCCACTTTTATATTCACAAAACTTACACGAATAATCCTTAAATTATCTAACTGTCAAGGAAATACAAATTAAAAATACATTTAGATATCTGCTCACATCTATTATTATAAAAATATGACAGGTAACAAGAGCCGGTGAGAAAGCAGTCATAAGGCAACCCAGATACACGGTTGATTAGGATGTCAGTAAAAACTGTCATTGTGAAAACTCAGTGGAGTTTCTTCAGGAAATAAAAACTAGACTCCCCATAACTCCACCTATCCATTAACAGGCACAGGTCCTTGGGTAGGAAATCATTTTGTCAAAGGTTTATCTGCATTTCCATGTTTAATCTCTGTGGCATTATTCAAATGAGCCAACACATATCTAAGTGTTTGTGAAAAAAAAAGAAATGGATAAAAAAGTTATTGGTTTAAAAATAAAATGTTATTCTGTGTTGGGAATTCGGACGTGCAATCAGTTAGACAGGTGAATTGATCTGAGGCCATTATACTAAAAGCAATCATCAAAGCACATGTAATGTATGGTCTCATGTATATGTGGAGTCCAAAAATCACAAAAGTGCAGTGATTTACAGAGTTGTGCTGTGGAGGAAAAAAAGGGAAATGTTAGGGGAATGGTGCAGTGTCTCATACAGACAGTGACATTGATTTCATAGTGCAGACCTGTATTTTAAAATTCCTTACAGAATATGCGGTAGATGCTCTAACCAGGAACAATGACTAGGTAAGGAAGGTGTTGAAGAATTTATTAATAAGCCTGAAATTATCATTCCACACTGCATACTTATATCAAAACATGTCATCATATCTAATAAATGTATTAATTATTATTTTCCTATTGAACATTTTAAATAGCCAAATGGCAATCACTGGCAATTCTATAAAGAGAAAATTCACTGCTGGTCTGGGTTGCACCTGCTTTTGATTGTAGTTCACGGTGATCAATAAGTATATAAATAAATTCATCTCATTAAACTCATGCAGGTATCAGACTGCCAATTTTTGTCAGCACATGGGGATTCATCCAACATATCCTACCACAGCAACTGATCTTTAATACTGCTGTCTTCATCTCTATCCCATCCACCTGCAATGGAGTCCCACTGTATGATAGCACTTCCCCTATTCATACGACCTGAAGGAAGGCACTTCCTTAACTGACTTTGTACTACTCAGTTAAGCACAAGTCCTGGAAAATCAGACTAGGTGGAAAAGCCATATTACAGGGACTGACCCTGGAGGTCCTGTGCTAGCCCTCAAGGACTCAGTCAGTGGTCTCTGATGTCCTTCTCTCCCCAGTCAGTGTAATCACCTTGTCTTTCAGTTGGGTCACATTGCTTATTCAGTGCTGAGTGTCCCATTCTAGAGTCACTACCGAAATGCTGAAAAATATATTTCATGTAAGAGAGTGGAATAATGGTCACTAGAAAATGGAAAATTAGAACCAGTAGGATAAAGTAGGTTTAGGTAACAAGGACAAAATGCCATTAGGAAGAACTATTCCTAGTGTTCTGTAGTGGAGTAGAGTGAATGAAGTGTACAAAGTATACATGATTCAAAAAATGGAGTATAACAGTGTGTATGTTCTCAAGATGAATTAATGATGTTTGTGAAAACGGATATGCTATGTGCTTGAATTTTTTCCATGACATCTCAAATACATCTACCAAATTATACTCATTCTCTGAAGTATTATATGTCAATTAAAAATGTAAACAATGAGGCTATGGTTAATCTCAGTATTTCAGCATATTCATAGAAAGCAGCAGGCTCTGTGTTGAAACTCTAAAGTGTAAAAATTAGTAAATAAAATCCATTTTATGAGTGTGTCTCAGGAAATATTCTATCATCCCCAAAAATGTTGGTAATGCAAACTCAATTACATTTCAAAGATAGCTATATATAACACACTAATCTAGTCAAGTAATATAAAATATAATTGAATTTCTATTTCAATAAATCTAAAATAAATAAGAAAGTACAAAGTTCAATAATCATAAAAATCAGTCTTATATAAGCCATTGAGACTCTCAGAAAATAGTGACTTCACTGTTAATGGTGAGAGATTAAAGCATCCATCCAGGATCAGGAACCATAGGAGCACAACTGCCAGCACCAGTTTTAAAGATTTTCTATCTGGCAAAGGAAGCAAAAATTAGTCTTGGGAGAAAATCCTCTTTGTACATGCATTATCAGAGCTCATTAAAATAATAAAGTACAAAGTCTGTAATAATTACCTAACTATATGTGAAAGTTGAACAAATACATAACAAAGTAAAACATTTATATATAATCTGAAGTAAATAAATGTTAAAAAAAATACCAGTTACAGAAGTTTCAACTATGTCAAAAATGCAGGAAGGAATCTCATGTCTTTTGAAATATGTAAGTATTATTAAGAGACAGAGAAGGGCAGAAGATTTTTTAAAATTAAGTATCACACCTGAGAACACGGAAGAGGCCCTAAGTACAAGCACTTGTTCAGCAAAAAGAAAAAAAATCAATATCACAAAGTGTCACAACATCCTGTTTTGATGAAAAAATATTGTCAGAGCAGTCAGTTTTCAAAATACATTTTAGAAATTGCTAAAGCCGACTTAGTTTTATGCAAAAACACAAGCGTACCTGAGGACTAAGGTGGAATTTAAAAACTAAATGCTGATGCACATCTATGACCAGACCACAGTTCAACATCAAGGACACCATGTGGATTGATGATGACTCTAAACACTGGACCACAGGGCTACTACTTGTGATCCTTAGGAACTGAACCACAGTGTGGTTCATCCAACCCACATGTTCATAGCAGCCATGTATCCTAGGACTTCTAGCCATGAGTGACATCACAGCAAGATGGAGTCAGAATCAACATCAGCACAGCCTGTCTCAGCTATGTCAGAACTGCTGTGTCTGAAGTTTGACACAATCAGAGCTGACCTCCAGGCTTCCAATGTCTGTGTGTCTGCCTGAACTCCACAACATGGGTCTTACCAAGGTGCCCATTCTCTCCTAGTATACCACTCAGTTCTCTACTGTCCACATCCCAAGTGACCCTGAATTACTGGAGGGCACCTCTGTCTGCACTACAAAAGATGGAAATTCACTCAAGTGTGATGCAAGAAACGAATCACATTTGAGGTTGTGAGACAAGAGAAGGCTCCAGAATAACTATACATGTTGGCATAGGAGGTGCTGTTAGGGTGTAAATCTCAAATTCTGAGAACAACCATGGATGCCTCCTTCTGCACCTGGTTCTGGAACTGACCTTGTGCTCTGTGTGTGCTGAGCACCCTTTGCTGGTCCTGAGAGCCCAGAAGGGGATTAGTGTTTGGGCTCACATTGAAGTTCCCTCACTGGGTTGCTAGCACAGTAATACGTGGCCCTGTCCTCTGCAGTCACAGAGCTCAACTGCAGGGAGAAATGGTTTTTGATGTGTCTCTGGAGATGAAGGTGCAGCTCTTGAGGGATAGGCTGTAGTATGTGCTTCCATCATAACCACTGTACCCCATCCAATCCAAGCCTTTTCCTGAGGGGATCAATGATCCAGTTCTAGCAGTAATTACTTGTAATGGAGTAGCTAGAGACAGCTCTAGTGAGGGGCAGTGTTTGTAAGGGTTTCAGCAGGCCAGTTTCCAACTCCAGCAACTTTACCTTTGACAGGATACCTGGGGACAAAGAGAATTATCCCTGTTGGTCAGCTGTAGTCACAACCTCCCCATGTACCCATGTGTGACACTGGGTACACTCACCTTGGAGAGTTGTCACCAGGCACAAGAGAAGACCCAAGTCTCATCTTGTAGAACATAGTCCTGCTATCCCAGAGACCTCAGTCCTGTGTGAGGAAAGAGCTGTGAGTACCCACAGCCCAAAATCGAAATTTAACATACAGAATTACTATTAATTTGAAATTGAGGGGTCCTCTTCCTATGCATGTGCAGAGACTGACGTCAGGCTTCCTGTGGTACTTCTGTGTCCTGTGAGTCACATCTATACTTGGAGTGAATTGGTGATAATATCTGTGATAAGGGAGCATCTGGTTTGACAGTGAGCTGGAAGCTTGTCAAAGAAATCCCCATTTTTCTGAGTCAATAGCTACCATGCTCCAAGCCCCTTCTCACTTCCTTGTCACATTGAATTCCGACACATACTCAGGCTCTGTTTCTGCTTCCTCCTGGGTGATTTGAGCACAGTGCCTCTTCTCTCTCCCTGTCCTTGCATCTATAGTTTGGCTCAGTTCTCTGCATGTATTGCTATACTGTCATGATGCTATTGCTACAAAAGTTCTGGTTCTTCCTTAAACTCTCTGACAACCTGTCATCCAAAATGCACAAGTATCCATCAGTGCCAACAGGGACTGGATAAAATGCTGTCACTCCTGTGCTTTGCACAAAGTTGATTTGCACAAAGTTGCACAAGCAAATAGGGACAAGAAAGTCAATCTGCTTTAAATGTCCCAATCCAATTGACCACTGTTCATATAGTATGGGATCATGGTCAATTTTACAAAGAGCCTCCACTCTAGATCTTTATATGAAAACAATGAACTAAAAACGCTCGTCTTATAGATCTTGAACTTTGAAAACCACTCATAATTGATACTATTCATAGAGCAACAATATCCTTAGCACTCAACATTGACACTTATTTGCCAATCATATTGTAGACCTATTCATCTCCAAATAAATCTTAGAACGTTGCCCCCAGATCCCTGGGGTCTGAATATTCTCTTATCCTTCAGACAACAGGTTGCCATGACATAATTTACTATTAAGAAAATAGATGGAGAGCTGAAAGAACACATTCTCTCCCAAGGGAAAGAGTGAGTTCAGAGCCAATCACTCTATATCTTGAATACAAGAATTCGTCCCAACACACATATGTGGACAAGTTGTTAACTGTTTGATTCAGATGACTTCTGAATCACTCATTGTGGACATGGTAGATGTGTGTGTGTGTGTGTATATATATATGTATAAAGTGTACATAAGTTCATGGATACCTATATTAATATTGCATTTGAAAAATAAATATGCAATTCATATTAAATGAAACATACATACTTTCATGCTATATAATATATAATATAGTATACATCTATAATATCTATCTATTTATCTAACTATCTAAGACCTGAGATCTTGGCCCAGGAACATCCCCATCTAGGCATGTCATACCTTTTAAGAGGTCCCTTATGACACTGGTTGATGACTATAATAAATCTGTGATTAATCTGTGAGGCTGTTTCATCTATCTTGGTATCCAGTAAGAAAATTATGCATGTTATGCCTCTTGGTAGTCATTCATCAATGACTGTGAGAGGAGGTGTGAGAAATCCAAAGGTCCATCACTCAATGGTGAAAGTGCAATGCCTGCTAACCTCCAGAATTATCCTGTGGATAGGATGGGGCTGCCTCCTACAGGGTCTACAGAGGTGTTTCTTAGGACTAAAACTTTCACTTTCCCTGACCTGCAGCCCAAAACTAATAGTTTTACTAAGAACAAGTCCTAATAATACTCCTGAATATCATCTAGGTCGCCAATACAGCTGTCTGATATCTACCCAACATGAGGATATTAACAGAAGTGGGGAGGTAATGGAAAAGAATTGTTCTCATTCTGGTAATATTGTATGGAGGTCACTCATACCTTTGACTGTGATGTATGCAAACTCCTCCAATATTGACCATTGATCAAGGAAAGTTTGTGTCTCACAGCAGCTGTCTCCCAAGGGTAGAGTCTAGGATGGAGCCTCTTTCCTTATAAGAACCCCAAAATGCTACCTCTATGCTGGGCATCCCAGTGAAGTCAGGAGTTATGAAGAAACTACTCCAAAAGTGATCCTATTCAATCCAATACAGGTATCCATGGGTCATCTCCTGCCCTACCACTTAATCTGTATCAGTTCATGTATTCTCTGAAACATCCCTGAACCATGCTAATGCTTCCTCATTTGACTACTGCAACTTTCTGAAAAGTGATTTTAAGAGTCATGTCAAGAAACTGGGGATGAAGTGGTGTAGAGAGGAAGTTAATCCTGGCCCTCTAGCCCAGAGCACATATCAGCACTTGACTGCAGCATTCGACAGATGTACAAACCAAATTATATTAACCAGTATTTTTGTGCCTTATAGTTCTCACTTAGTAAAACCAAAAATTATAGTACTAAGAGGAAGTCCTCACAATAAAGTTGTTTGTGCAAATTGGTTCTGATAAAGGAAAACAAAATGATACATCACAGGTGTCATCATTATAATTGCTTATTATAAATTAATTATAATACTGTCAATTATTTAATCTCTGTACTGATGGAAATTTCTTTTATAGTGCTAGGAAATAAATTATATAGCTTGCAAAAATGTGGGTATTATTCATCAAGAGAAAGCACAGAAATTATGAAGAACATATCTGGGAAATGTGAAAAGCATATTAGAAGACAAATGAAGCCCAACTCTGAGACATGATGAGAGTAATATCTGCAGAAGAAAATGTGTTGGATGCACACAAATCTTAAAAAAAATTCTGTTCACCAAATAGTATGCACATAAAAACAGTATGTCAATGCAATGTTATTGTGCTCGGGTAATAACATGGTGCAGTAATTCACAAACTCAATAATCCAGTTAACCTAGTTTTTAGACTCTCAGGTGGAACAGATTCTGTTGGAAACTGGATTGAAGGTAGCACTTGTGCCACTGTAGAGAGCATAGGTGATCTACATCCATGCTATTGAGATCCACGGAACGCCACCTTGAAGATTCAGTTGATTTGGAAGAAGGAATGTCTAAGTAGAAAAGCATTCCTGATCTTCCATGAGGATGATTGGCTCCTTGGTACAAGATCACAGAGAGACTCAGAAACAAGGGAAAGAAGAGGAAGAAGATTTGGGAAATTCCCATCTGGCATAGAGATAAGCAAAATCTGACTGTTAGGAAGAAGTCAGTGGTGTGCCCAGGACTGCTTACTAGATTCTGGCCTAGATAAAGCATTCCCTGCTTCTGGATTGTAGCACACAGGCCTTGAGAGAATCTCCAAGTCTTGGAGGACACCCCTGCCATCACAGCCCATGGGCCTAGAAAGGCAATTTGTTTCAGAATGTACATGACAGACACAGAAACAAATGTCACACGTGTTCCCCAGTGACTTTGGATGAATGTTACCCCATGGAAGTTCTGGGTGGAATTTCCCAGCCTTCCTTATCTCTGCTTCATGTTGAAACCATAGACAATCACTGACAGCATGAAGTATAGGCAGACATTGCTGCTTCCAGGAAAGACTTCAATATTGCTTGTGACTGTGACTTTGAGATCTGTCAATATGGCACTGTTTAATCTGAAAAAACACAGCATGCCACAAAAATGTGCTCCTAATTCAGGGACCTGATCTGTCAGCTCATCCCTGGAAACATTCCACAGCTGACCATGATTCCTTTCCTCAATTTCTCACCTCTAAATACATAACCCACAGTCAGAGTTTGACTGCAGCAAGTGTTCCCTGTCACTGTCTCAGTATAGTGGAAGCAGGTTCTCCCTCAGGGTTTTTGACACCCTCAGGATGTGGTTTTCACACTCTGTCTTGCACAGTAATACAAGGCTGTGTCCCCAGCTTTCAGGCTGCTGATCTGCAGATATGTGGTGCTGACAGAGGCATCCATGGAGATGACAAACAGACCTTTGAAGCCCCCAGCATAGCCTGTATTGCCATTTTCAGTGTTGATCCACCCTATGTTCTGAAAGCCTTTTCCTGTCTCCTGCTTTACCCAGTATATTCCATAGCTGGTGAAGGTGTATCCAGAAGCCTTGCAGGTGACCTTCACTGTTTCTCCAGGCCTCTTCAGCTCAGCCCAAGACTGTGTCAGCTGTATCTTGGAGTGGGTTTCTGTGGAGAGGACACAGGGAAGTCAGAGACCTTCCCTGACAGAGCTGGCTCTATCTGCTTTGGATCTCTGGGTCCTGTATCCTACCTTGGGCAGCTGCCAGAAGGAAGAGAAGCCTCCACACCCACTCCATGCTCTGGGATTTGGACTGAGTTGTCAGTGAGACTGATGGGCAGAGGAGGCCCTTGTTGGATGTGGAACAGAATCCTCAGCTTTCTACTCTGTGGGCCCCTGGAGATTTGCATATGGATCAGCCCTTAACACCTGATGGCTAATCAAGGCATGGACAAACTGTCAAGCTGGAGCACCCCTGCACCTGGTGGCTGTGCTGTGCCCTCCATTGTCTGGTGCCTGATCCTCTTACTAAAGGTCCCTGTCTGAAATTTGGCCTGGTCCTTGGCAGGGTCTGCACACCAACCTTCCCCCTCACTTACCCCTCATGGTGTCATGGCTCCTTCCTTCAACTTTGTAGTTGAAATGGTTTAAATCTCTGCTCACACCTCATTCTGTCACCTAACAATTGCCTCCCTGGTGACTGTGACTAGGCTCATGAATCTACCCTGACTAACCACGTACAACCACTGTTCTCTGGAGACCCCTGTATTAGTCCTTCAGAGGCCATAGTCTGATTGATGTACCTAATTTCTGACCTCATAAGTTTTTTCCTCTTTCACAATGAATTAGTAGAACGTCAAGATACATTTTACGAGGCATATTCTTCACTCACTATAACAGCGAAAATGTAAATAAGCAGTTATTAAAATAAAATATGCTTGAAATGGAAGTAACAAATGTGAAAACTCTTACAAGACATTATGACATTAGGGCTTACTGTTGACATTATTCTAGGTCTGACAACATTCCTATAATATGTCAAGAAACTGTACACAAATGAATGATCATATATGGAATCACTGAGGTGGCAATTTAGA